CTTGCATCCCCTGAGTAAAAAAAGCCAGAAACTTTATTATTCATACCAAACTCTTATACACAAAAGCTCCTATGTCTTTTAAAACATCTTAGCTCTTAGTCCATCGCAACCACAATGCGTCACACAAATGGGCCCATGCTCAGACTCCTACAATACGGACTTAATCTTCAGTGCATTGTGCTAGAAAAGCGTTCATTTTACTGTCACTTTGAATCAGGTCACGAGAAGAGTGGTAACACTACAGCCAGAATGCTGAAAATCAACTGTGGAGAGGAAGTTTTGGAAACAACACGCCATAAGAATGACATGCTGTGAAAATGCAGAGAAAGCTGCTTGCTTGAGACTGCGCTGCTGGACTGAGGCAGAAGAAGTCACACTGAGCAAAGCCTCTGGAATTCCCTGAGGATGGTACTGCAGCGGTGAGAAGGAACTTGGGGATGTTGTGCACTCAGTGCTAAGAAGCACTCAAGGGATTCTGCACCAGACAACAGTTCAGGCGCAGGGCCTTGGAAGAAGATCTGAAGTGAAGCCTGTATAATAGAGTTAAGAACCAGAGCCAAAGGGCACCGAAAATGTAAACACTGCAGGGCAGCGTGAAATGAGATGAGCAGCAATCCAGAGACCACTTCAAATCTCTTAAAAATATACAGAGGTACTCATTTAATTACACATTAAACACAACCAAGAGCAGTTTTGGTTTGCTCTTCCATGTTTCAGCTCGTTACATTTGCACATCGTGTTACTGTCAAAAAACAAAGCAACCAAAATAACGTAAAAAAGCTGAAAAAGGACTGGATCAGTGAAGGAACAGAGCCATCACAGCTGTGTGCTGCACCAGCCCACACTGCACAGTCACGGTGTCAGCACTCAGCCACAACCCGCCGTCCTGCTCAGCAGAAGGGTTCAGCCCTACGTTGCACTGCTCACACGAAGGGGGTTTCTACTGAAAGCCAGGGAAGCAGCAGATAGGCAGGGAGGAAAAGCTCCTCCATCCTTAACTACGGCTCATGACCGGATACGTGACTGAGAAATTTCACTGTGATACCCCAGAATCAGTAACAAGCAAAGCACGTGGTCATTCTTACAGGAGGTCCAGAAATGAAAGAGCAGCATAAAAAGAAAAACAGAGGTGAACAGATTTGCTTCAGTGCTTGCTTAACTCAGACAAACCTAATTTGGAGAAGAAAACTGAAGTTTTTTAACTGAGCTTGGAGGGGCTTACTAAACAGCAGGTCAGCCTGGATCCAGCTGAGCTCCTGGATCAGCTGTTTTCTGTTGGACCAATCTCCTGTGAAAAGCCAAAAGCAGAAATCCGGCTCTAAGGGCTCAGAAAGAATAAATGACACAGAGCCCAGGCCACCTGAATTTTTTTTTTTTTTTTTTCTCCCCAGGAAAGATGTGAAGAATAAAGTTGTTCCAAAAACTTTCCTCAGTTTTCCTTGTTCCACTATCAAGTAGACAAAAAGCATCAGCTTCTCTCATTTGCATTAAGTACCTCAAATGCTGTGGACCACTGACATCATTTGATAGAAAACACATTCTTAACACAGAACATTTCTTACATCCAGCCAAGCATTAGCAAAGCCTCTCGCCTCCCTCAGAATCCTCTTCCTAAATTGCAGCCCTGAGCTCCCCTACCATGCTGCTGCAGTTTGCCAGGTGATTATTACTTAGCAGAACTGCCATGGGAACAGAGGCAGACACTTCTCATTACTTCCCAGCTTCTAAGCACACTTTTTTTAAAGTCAGCTGTTTTGCTTTTCTCCAGCTTTACTTCAAGCCCCGTGCACAGACATTCCTGGATCCGTCTGGTCTTACTAACATTGCTAATGCAATATTTAAAGGCTGCTGCATGAACAGGAACCTGGGATCTATTTGTGCCCACAGGCCCCAGGCACCATTTATCAGCTTGCCTCCAGCAAACAAATCCCTTGATAACAACAAGGCATGTTAGGTTCACTTTTCCATTTAAAGGAAATGGGCAAAACTCAGCGCTCATTTTCCAGCAAAATGTGCATTTCATTGCTTTTGTTAAGCAACTCTTGCAGAGACAGTTACCCAGCAGTGGAAATAAAGCCAGGCAAGGAAACAGACCTGCAGGAACCAAGTCCTACTTGTCACACTGCCAGCGAGACACTGAATCATCGCATTCCAAGAGCCAAGTTCAGAGCAAGTAGGCACTAATGTGGTGAATCTCATGAAAACCAAACACCAGCATCATATTCTACGCACACGCATGCACAGTTCTGTCTTGTCTGGATTTGAGAAACAAGATCCTGAGGTAAGGTTGCTTAGAATAACTTCTCTTCTGAATAACACCGCAGGGACATTCTCCTGCTTAAGTACATTGAACAGAGTTCTCTCCAGAATAGCCCAGGCTCTTCCACTGTCACACCAGGCAGACCAGAACCATGACAGCTCTGCGCTGAACAACTCCAGCATTTATTCCAGCCACCAGGAGTAATTTCTCCCAGTACATACATTCCATAAGATCAAAACTTTCAGCATTAGGAAAATCCTCTTTCAGTCTTTAGAGAATGCAGTAAGCCTTAAACACGCATCCAGGAATCTTCTGATGCTTCACGTACGTTTCCACGTGAGCCCATGGAGGTATGTGCACAAACTCCACTGCTTGTTAGCAGGACTGGAAACCCTGGCTTGAAAATACACCCCAGAGTGTTCTGGTGTTAACAGAAAAATTGACAGATCTCAAATGCATTATAATAAATTCTTTCTCAGAAAATACTGGCCTGCTAACTGTTGCCCAGGATTCTTGTCAGTCTGAAGCAGTGAATCCCTTGTCTCATTCACCATCTGGGCAGCACTCTCGGTTCATCTGAAGAACAGGACGTTGCACCATCCCACCTCATGGCAGAAGAGTGAATTATAGAGATACTGCAAGACTCAACTACATAAAGTGCATATAATATGGAAAGAGACAGGCCGTATTCCAACAAGCTTTAGTCCCCCTGACAATTAACATCCAGACGAGCTTGTGGGTTTGAAATGTCAGCGTTCGGCCAATGAATCAGCCAGTGAGATAGTCCAGTCTGCATTTCTGATCCATCTGATAAGGCATCATAACAGCTTTAAGTGCCAAGGATCTGTCAGGGCCTTTAGTTTAGAAATACTCATAATCCCATCATGCAATCCCATCCTCACCGTTCTGCCAACAAGCAGAAAAAAAATGGTCATGGGTAAAAGCCAAAGGAACGTGAAAAAGTCGTCTTATTTTGCTGAACAGCCGTACACCATTTGCATGAGCGCTGCAGAAAACCTGCAGAAAAATCAGCTGTCAGTCAGCTTCTGCTTCTGTATCACATCCTGACCAGAAGGGGGAAAATGCAATTTCCAGTGTTAAGAACAGCACTGACATAAAAGGGACATCGACTGGTATGCAGGCCAACAGAACAGGGACGGGCTACAATGTTAAGGAGAGGTAAAACTAGCAGCAAAGTGCCAGCTCCTGAGTGAGGGAGAGTTCTGAAGGAAATAGGGTAATTTGACTGGTGGGAGAACAGCACAGAGCAGATCTCATGGCTTAAAGAACTTAGAAAATAATTAAGCAGGCAAAAAGCCATCGCTGAATGGAGACCCATCAAACACAGCTGATGTTCAAGCATTTTTGCTGGCATCTAGGACTTTTTCCATTAGCACAAGTACTTGCATTTTCCTCTGAAAACCAGCCGAAGCCAAGCTTGTCATGCAGTCGAGCCAGGCACAGCACTTCTCCCCATACAGAACTGCAGTGAGGAGCTGGCTGTGCTGGGCTTCCTCTGCCACCATCTCTTCCATGCACCTTTCCTGGGACACAAGCCTGTGAATACTGAAACACATGAACAATTCTACTCAGCTGGGTATTCCTGTGGCTTGCTCTGGTAGCCAAAGTACACGATTTGAACCAAAGGCAAAAACCTCTTATTCTATGCTTGCCAGACCTCTGGACATAACCTGAGACTCCTGCACCTGAGAAGGGAAGATGCAATAAAACTTTTGTCTTGCTCTCCCCATCTCAGAACTGGAAACACTGGTGAATACCCATGCATTAGAAGTTCTCAGGACAGTAAAAAGCAGCAATCAAGTTACCACATCCTCCCCAAGTTGAGTTTTTATTGGGGTAGATGAGAAAACAGAACGTGAAATAAGGTCTGGATAACAAATACAGCAGATGTAAGATATAAAGATATCATCAAGGAATGTCTCACTTTTCAGTCAGCAGCTGAGCTGCCTAAACTGAGGACATGGTTTAGTGGACATGGTGGTGATGGTTGCACTGGATGACTTCAGAGGTCTTCTCAGCCTTAATAGTTTTGTGATTCTAAATTACACTTGAAAAAAATGTTTCAACCCATTCTAACAAAACGTAGAGGAGGAATGAACACAAACAGTAAGGCAATAGTGTTAGCACTCTTAGTCAGGCGTTTTGCAGCTCCTAGCCAAGGCCCACTGAAGTCAATAGATAAGCACATTCTTACTGCTGTAACAGCATTTCCTTTTCCAATCCTTCATTTTCCTTGTGAGAGCAAAACTGGACCAGCTCAGAACCTCGTGCTGTAAAGCTGAGCCTTCCACAGAGAAACTGAAGTAGTTTCCCAGTCTCCATCATACAGTCTATTATTTGCCAGCTGTGAACAGCTGTGCTCTGAGATACAGGTTTCCAGCTCTCCAGATCAGAGCATTACTTACCACAGCATCCCAAAAACAGGCCCGACTGGAGAGAACTCAGAGCGAAAGAAGGAAGTCCTGCAGAACACGGCGGCACCTGACAGCCAAACTCATGATGTTCAATGAGGGAGGACTGAAAGAGGAGGGAGAGGGAGGAAAGGGAAATATGCACGTACCACAACTCTGCACATAGCTAACACTGCCCTTCCAGAGTCCTTCAAGGAGAAACAGCGCATGAATCTTCATCATCCTCATCCAGCAGGGATGAAACTGTGCAAGAGAAGAAGGGGACTTCCCTGTTGTAGCAGGCGTAAAGTGGGGTTATCAGGATGTGACGTGTCAGGACCTCCCCTGCTCTGTGGTGGATTTATGACGCATGCTTTAGGGGCGTAGACGAAGCACGTAGGCTATATAAGCTGCTGTGTAGTTGCAATAAACGCCATTTGCCTTCCATCATGTTGATGTCTGTGTCGCTAATGGCCCTAGTCATTCGCTAGTCCTAAGGCAGCCTGACCCTTCAGAATGGGGGCTGCAACAACTTTCCCAAGATCAAAACAGCACTGTGGGGAAAGGAAAGATCACACAATAAGTTTAACAGCCGCTCAAATGGTGCTGGCATTACCATCCCTGCTTTTCCATCAGGAAAGAAAT